AAAAATAAGAAAATTATCCAGGAGTGTGCACCTGTAGTCTCAGCTACTTAGGCTGGGAGGATCACTTGAGCCCAGGAGTTTGAGATTATAGGAAACTATGATTGGGGCACTGCACCCCATCTCGGGCAACAGAGGGAAACCCTGTCTCTCTCTCTCTCTTAAAAAAAAGGGGGTGGCCGGGCACAGTACCTGTAATCCTAGCACTCTGGGAGGCCAAGGTGGGTGGATTGCCTGAGCTCACAAGTTTCAGACCACCCTGCGCCAGAGCAAGACCTCATCTCTGAAAACAGCCAGGCATTGCAGCAGGCACCGTGGCGGGCGCCTGTAGTCCCACCTACTTGGGAGGCTGAGGCAAAAGAATTACTTAAGCCCAGGAGTTTGAAGTTGCTTTGAGCTGTGATGTCACAGCACTCTACTGAGGGTGACAAAGTGAGACTCTGTCTCAAAAAAAAAAAAAAAAAAATATATATATGTATATACACACACACACATACATACATACACACACACACATATATATATGTAGTTACTGATGGACGTTCCTACACACTCCTGCTATGGGGGAATCAGTGGCTATATACCTGGCTCAAATTGTATCTAAGGTTGATTCCTTCCATTTTGGGGGGGTCACTAAATGAGGTTCTGGTGTATGTAGAGGATACAAATAGTCAAAGTTACCTGGCTCTTTGTCAGTGTGGACTCTAGTGATGGAGACAAAGAATTAACTACCAAACTATAAGATGTGTATATGCTGGCTTGGCGCCTGTGGCTCAAGTGGCTAAGACGTCAGCCACATACACCTAAGGTGGTGGGTTTGAATCAAGCCCAGGCCCACCAAACAACAAAGACAGCTGCAACCAAAAAATAGCCGGGCCTGTGGTCCCAGCTACTTGGGAGGCTGAGGCAGAAGACTCACTTGAGCCCAGGAGTTGGAGGTTGTTGTGAGCTTTGATGCCACAGCACTCTACCCAGGGGGACAGCTTGCGGCTCTGTCTCAAAAAAAAAAAAAAATGTGTATATGCTAGCAAAGCAATATTTAGTGAACAGAGTGCAAAAATTTGGGAGTCTGACCACCTGGCTTTGAATACTGGCTGTGACCATGACTAGTTTGCTTCTTTGTGGTGTCACTTTTTTTTTTTTTTTTTTTTTGGTTACATCCTTTTATCTTATGTTGCCATCTATTCCCATGCCATGAGTTTTTGTTTCTTCTGGAATATCTTTTTCTTCTGTTCTACTTCCTCTTCTGGTTTGGGAACAGTTTGTTCCCTTTCAGTAAGGATCATCTCGATGTGGCAGCAGGGAGCTGATGTATAGGTTAAGGGGGACCATGAGCTCTCTAAGTTCAGCGATGCATCTTGGGTGCTTTGTTCATCTGGCTATGCTTAAAGACCAGAGAATCTACATCTAAACCCTTAAGTTCAGCATTACTCTCTGCATTTTTTTTTTAAAGATGGAGTCTCACTTTGTCACCCTGAGTGCCATGGCAACATAGCTCATAGCAACTTCAAACTCTTGGGGTCAAGCGATCTTCTTGCCTAAGCATCCCAAGGAGCTGGGACTACAGGCGCCTGCCACAACACCTGGCTGTTTTTTAGAGACGGGTCTTACTCTTGCTCAGGCTGGTCTTGAACCTGTGAGCTCAGGCAATGCACTGGTCTTGGCTTCCCAGAGTGCTAGGATTACAAGCATGAGCCATTGCACCCAGAGCCTCAAGCTGTTGCCCTGGGTAGAGTACTGTGGCATCACAGCCCATAGCAACCTCCAACTCCTGGGCTCAAGTGATTCTCCTACCTCAGCCTCCCAAGTAACTGGGACTACAGGCGCCTACCACAACACCCGGCTAGTTATAGTCATCATTGTTGTTTGGCAGGCCCAGGCTGGATTCGAACCTATCAGCTCAGGTGTATGTGGCTGGCACCTTAGCCACTTGAACCACAGGTGCTGAGCCTACTCTCTGCATTTTTAAGCATGTGCAGCAAAAATTCAGAACTCTTTTTGGGCCACCAACTCTGTGTCCAGCCCCACTATTTGGCCTCAGCACACCTACCACCTCCACCATTGTAACATAAGAATGGTACACACTATTTCTTTAAAGCAGGTGTCCTCAAACTATGGCCTGCGGGCCACATCCGGCCCACAGGGTGTTTTTGCCGCCACTGCCTGTCCTGCTTAGCAGCCGACTTGTCCCAGAGCCCACAGTCCAGCCCTCCAACGGTCTGAGAGACAGTGAACTGGCCCCCTGTTTAAAAAGTTTGAGGACCCCTGCTAAAGTGACATCCTTCAGATACTTGGTGGCTTTTCACATATGCATACCCTTGATGGCCTGGGCAGTTTCACATGTGTCCTTAAAGTGACCACGAAGATTTGAACCTCTGTACTTGCATGACTTGTGGGGTTTTCTGGGTCAAGTGAATAGTGAACCATTTTCACAGATCACCTTAGGCCTTAGGAGAAGACGAAGAGCAGTGTGGTGTCACTTCTTATAAGAAACTAATCCGGTGTCTCAGTCCTATAATCCTCCCTATAGGAGGGAGGCTGGGCAGGTGGATTGCTTGAGCTCAGGACTTCAAGACCACCTTCAGCAAGAGCGAGACCCCATCTCTACTAAAAATAGAAAAACTAGCCAGGCATTGTGGCAGGCACCTGTAGTTCCAGTTATTAGGGAGGCTGAGGCAAGAGCTTGCTGTGAGCTATGACATCCACAGTGCTCTATCCAGGGCAATAGAGTGAGACTCCATCTCCAAAAAAAAAGAAAAGAAAAAAAAATTAATCCAATCAACCAGGATCCTACCCTTATTACTTCATTTAGTCTTAATTACCCCTACCCTTATTATCTCGTTTAACCTTAACTACTTGAATAAATGCCTTATCTTGCCTGGAGACAGTGGCTTAAGCCTATAATCCTAGCATTCTGGGAGGCTGAGGAGGATCACTCAAGCTTAGGAGTTCAAGACTAGCCTACGCAAGAGGGAGACCCCCCCCATTTCTACAAAAAATATAAAAATTTGCCAGGTGTGATGGTAGTAGTCCTAATTACTCAGCAGGCTGAAGCAGGAGCTTCCTTTGAGCCCAGGAGTGTGAAGATGTAGTGAGCTATGATGATGCCCATGCACATTAGCCAGGGTGACAAAATAAGAGTTTGTCTCAAAAAACAAAACAAAACAAAAATCCTTATCCACAAATACAGTCACATGGGAATAAGGGTTTCAATGAGTTTGAGGGAAGAGGGGGAGACACAAACATTCAGTCTACAACAGTTCTAGGTAGCTATGATATTAGCTTCAGTTGTTTGAATAGTATGCATAAAATGCTTAGAATGATACCTGGTCCACGGGTAAGCTTACAAGACGTTTTATCCAGATGATACCCTAAAGTAAATTAAAGAGGAGGGATTAGCAAGTGATTGGCAGGGGTAAAGATAAGAGAGGTTGGTCGACTCTGTCTCTCACATCTCTTTTCATTCATGAGAGGGAACCACCTCCAACTCTCTTTGGAAGGGCTCTAAGCTTTCTCTTTGTTCTTAAATAAAATTTTTCTTTGTTATACTGAAAAAAAGAGAGAGAGAGAGGTGGTCAAAAAAGCCCTCTTTGAGGAGGTGACAGGGAGCTGAGACCCAAATGAAATCCAAAAGACAGCTATACAAAGATTCTAGGGGGATAGCTCTGTGAGAGAGAACTGCTATTACAAGCAAAAGCCCCTGAGGTGGGACGTAATTTGGCTGTTGGGGAAGAAAGAGCACCCATGTGAGTAGAGCCTAGTGAGCTCCTGAACTGCCAGGTATTTGGCAGCACTCATTAAATGTGAGCTATCATTTTTATTAACAAGACTTTTTTTTTTTTTTAAGAGACAGAGTCTTACTTTATCGCCCTCTGTAGAGTGCTTGGACATCACAGCTCACAGCAACCTCCAACTCCTGGGCTCAGGCGATTCTCTTGCCTCAGCCTCCTGAGTAGCTGGGACCACAGGTGCCCACCACAATGCCCGGCGATTTTTTGTTGCAGTTTGGCCGGGGCCAGCTTCAAACTTGCCACCCTCGGTATATGGGACCAGCACCCTACCCACTGAGGCACAGGCACCGCCCTATTAAGCAGACTATCAGGAAGACTCTGCAGAGATGGTCTGAGAAGGAGCGAGTAAGTGAGTGTCTCATCCAGAGATAGGCAGGGAGCTCCTTCCTAGGAGGAATTCAGCTCATCTGGAAGGTTAGAATTCAAGCCCCACCATTTAGTGGGAAAAGTGAAATAACCAAGTTGAGGGTAGAATGGAATTTTGTGGGACTGGGGCCAAAAACCAAAGGGGGAGATGCAGAAAGAAATTCCTGGGGGAAGTAGGGTTTACATGAAGGATTGGTAGGATTTGGAATAACCAAAAAGGACCTAGAATCTTGCATATTGTGATAGAAGCCATGGAATCTTTTTTTTTTTTTTTTGGCCAGGGCCAAGCTTGAACCCACCACCTCTGGTATATGGGGCTGACACCTTACTCTTGAGCCACAGGTGCCACCCCTTTTTTTTTTTTTTTTTTAGACAGAGTCTTACTCTGTCACCTTTAATAGAATGTCATGGCACCATAGCTCACAGCAACCTCAAACTCTTGGGCTTGACCAATCCTCTTGCCTCAGCCTTTCAAGTAGCTGGGCCTACAGGCACGCACCACACAACTAGTTTTCCTATTTTTAGTAGAGACAGGATCTTCTCTTGCTCAGACTGGATTGGAACTCCTGAGCTCAAGCAATCTGCCCACCTCGGCCTCCCAGAGTGCTAGGATTACACGTGTGAGCCATCTTGCCCAGCCCACCATGGAAATTTCTTGAGCAGGGGAGAGGAAGCATCATATAGTACTTTAGAGAGAAAATTCTGGCTGCATAGGGGTATGGGGAAGGGCAGTGTGCAGGACCTAGGGGTATGGGGAAGGGCTGTTTGTAGGACCCAGGCAGGACTTCAGGCAGAAGGGTGTTTCTTCCAGGATATAGCCTTGGCACTCATCCCAGGGACTCCTGTGTCTTCCCCCCAGATAAGCTGCTTCTGCAGTAATGGGCCTTCAGTCTCTATTTGTACTTCCCCCAGCACTCTTCTGGTTTAGCTCAGCTCCATCTTCCAATGTCATAACTTAGAAGCCACCAACCCCTGAGGTGTACAGATGAGGAAAAAGGCCTAGAAACAAGCACTAATTTCACTGAGGTCTCATAGTAAGTCATTCACAGGGCTGGAAGTAGAACTTAGACCTCCTAGCCTCTGAGTATACTGGCTCTCCTTATCTCTCCTCTCCCTTCAGCCCCCTTTCCCCAGCACCAGCTGCCCAACACTCCTTAAGTGGATCTGCCATAATCCTCTTCTCTTCATCCCCCAGGGAGGATAAGCTGGTGTTAAGACTAATGCAGCTATTAATCCTATTTCCTTTCAACTATGATCCATAGGAGCAGATGGGTTGCAGGATGTCTGGGTTCTGGATCAGAAAGTAGGGACCTCAGCTAGAGCTGGTATCCCAGGTCATATGAGATCAGATACATTGATTATGACTCAGAAAGAGGCTTCTAGCTGTTAGCAGTGGATCAGGCTGCCTTGAGAGAGAGTGAGCTCCCCATTACCAGAGTTATGGGAATAGGAGCCCAGCAGGATTACAGAACAGAGGGTGGACCAAGATTCCTATCTGGGGTGGAGTCCCTTACAGCTGTGCAAGGCCAGGATTCTGTGTGAACAGTTGCTGTCTCAAACAGCTAACCAACCAGAGAGGAAAAGCAAAACATACATGCTGAGGACCTATCACTTCCAAACAGTACAAACTAGCATATTTAGCCCATTGGCTCTGCCCTCTTCTGGTCCCAGGTCTGTCTTCCCTGGGTGCTTGGAGACTTTTACAGGCCAGCCCCACGTCTGGGTACCTTCTGCATCTGCAGCCTTGCACAGGACCCTTCATCCTCACACAGTCCTGGAACACTGAGCTGAAGAAGGAAGATGGTGAGACTAATGGAACCTGGGCCTTCTGGGAATGCCATAGGGTTTAGAAAAGTTCAGAGGTTGAGGAGGGAAGTACAGATGAACCTTTTGTAACCCCAGCCTCTTCTCTTAGTGCCTCTGAGGTCAGCTGGTCCAAATTCTTTTGTCAGTGCAGATCAGAGAGGAAACTTGAATGTAGGGTGTCAGAGCCAGGAATTCTTGGCAGAAAGAATGTGGGGGTCCTGCACCCTGGGTGGGAAATGCAGATAAGATAACGTTCCTTCTGAGGCTTTATAAGAGAGTTTCATGAGGAGAGAGGGAGGCCTTTGAAGAATTATGAAGGGATATGGCCTTGGTCTAACATTGGTTCTCTTGCAGAGAAGCCCCACCCCCCAAGGCCATGGAGGTGGAGGCTGTGGAGGCTGCAGAGGCCCGGTCCCCAGCCCCCGGCTACAAGCGCTCTGGCCGCCGCTATAAATGCCTGTCCTGTACCAAGACATTTCCAAATGCGCCCAGGGCAGCACGGCATGCTGCCACACATGGGCCGGCCAACTGCACAGAGGATGTGGTCGAGGTGAAGCCAAAGCTGGAGACAGAACCCAAGGCAGAGGAAGCCAGTGGGGACAAGGTGTCAGGTTCAGTGGCTAAGCCACGGCCCTATGCATGCCCGCTATGCCCCAAGGCATACAAGACGGCCCCTGAGCTGCGCAGCCATGGGCGCAGCCACACTGGTGAGAAGCCCTTCCCGTGTCCTGAGTGCGGGCGCCGCTTCATGCAGCCAGTGTGCCTACGTGTGCACCTGGCCTCGCATGCTGGTGAGCTGCCCTTCCGCTGCTCACACTGCCCCAAGGCCTATGGCGCGCTCTCCAAGCTCAAGATTCACCAGCGTGGTCACACAGGCGAGCGGCCCTATACCTGTGCGGACTGTGGCAAGAGTTTCGCTGACCCCTCAGTGTTCCGCAAGCATCGGCGCACTCACGCCGGCCTGCGGCCCTACGGCTGTGAGCGCTGCGGCAAGGCCTACGCTGAGCTGAAGGATCTGCGCAACCACGAGCGGTGAGGGCACCTTCCCCGGGTGGGGGCAGCAGTGACTGCAGTAATGAGTGGGGTTACGGGGTTACTCAATGTGGGGTTGAGTCTCAAAGAGGGGAATGAGCCAAAGGGAAGGTGAGTGGGACTGATCTACTGGGATGAGCGTGAGGTGGGGTAAAAGGCTGGGCAAGTGGTTGAAGTTGTTGCCTTTGATTGGACAGGGGGGAATGTGGTGGTAGGAGGGGGCACACCTGCTTGGGATGGAGCCCTTTGGAACGGGTGGGATCAGACAGACCTAGGTTCCTGGCTTTGAGGTTGGATGGCTCTAGGGTCCTTGCTAGAGCTCAGCTGGTATTCTAAGCCTGAAGACTTTCCCCTCTGAGGTGCAGCCCTGTGGCTCTTAGGGGGTTGGGCCTAGGCCCCAGAGATGGATGTTAGGGGATCAGGTTATGGGTCTGTCAACTTCATGCTGGATCCAGTATACTCCCATAGGTCACACACCGGTGAGCGGCCCTTTCTCTGCTCCGAGTGTGGGAAGAGCTTCTCCCGCTCATCCTCTCTCACGTGCCACCAGCGTATCCATGCCGCACAGAAGCCCTATCGCTGCCCGGCCTGTGGCAAGGGGTTCACGCAGCTCAGCTCCTACCAGAGCCACGAGCGCACTCACTCCGGAGAGAAACCCTTCCTGTGCCCTCGCTGTGGCCGCATGTTCTCAGACCCGTCAAGCTTCCGGCGCCACCAACGGGCACACGAGGGTGTGAAGCCTTACCGCTGTGAGAAGTGCGGCAAGGACTTCCGGCAGCCGGCCGACCTGGCCATGCACCGGCGGGTGCACACGGGCGACCGGCCATTCAAGTGCCTGCAATGCGACAAGACGTTTGTGGCATCTTGGGACCTCAAGCGGCATGCCTTGGTGCACTCAGGCCAGCGGCCCTTCCGTTGTGAGGAGTGTGGGCGAGCCTTTGCTGAGCGTGCTAGTCTCACCAAGCACAGCCGCGTGCACTCGGGTGAGCGCCCCTTCCACTGCAACGCCTGCGGAAAGTCCTTTGTGGTATCATCAAGCCTGAGAAAACATGAGCGGACCCATCGAAGCAGTGAAGCTGCAGGGGCTCCCCCACAACAGGAGCTGGTAGTGGGGTTGGCGCTACCTGTAGGCATGACCAGCGAGGGCTCAGGCACCCCAGCAACAGGGGCTGGGCTTGGGGAGCCTGCTGCAGGGCTGCTAGGGCTGCCCCCAGAGTCTGGTGGCGTGATGGCCACACAGTGGCAAGTGGTGGGAATGACAGTGGAGCATGTGGAATGCTCAGATGCTGGTGTTGGGGTGGCTTCTGGTCCCTTGGGAGGGCCAGGTGGAGGAGGCGAGGAGGTTGATGAGAAGCCCCCCCAGTTTTTGTGCCGCAAGTGCAAGGAGACCTTCTCCACACTGACATTGCTGCGGCGACATGAGCGGTCACACCCAGAGCTCCGGCCCTTTCCCTGCACCCAGTGTGGAAAGAGCTTCTCAGACCGGGCTGGGCTGCGCAAACACAGCCGTACACACAGCTCTGTGCGCCCCTACTCCTGCCCTCACTGTCCCAAGGCTTTCTTGAGTGCCAGTGACCTGCGCAAGCATGAACGCACCCACCCTGTGCCCATGGGGACCCCTACACCCCTGGAACCCCTTGTGGCTTTGCTAGGAATGCCTGAAGAAGGGCCAGCCTGAAGCCCATGCCCACTAGTTCTCCACACTCCCAAGAGCCCAGCCCCCACAGAGTTCCTCCTGAGCCTCCTTTTGCCCCAGCTCTCTCTTTAAAGAGTCCAGATCCCTGCCCCTGGTCAACTAACTCACCTGTTGCACAGCTAAGAGAGCAGGGGTGGGTAGAGTCTGGCAGCAGCTGTGAGAGATGATTCTCCCTGAGCAACGCTTATTAAACCTTTCACCTTGGCACTAGGTTGTCTCTGTGTTTTGGTTGGGGGTGAGTGGGTGGGTGTTTGGGCAGCAGATGAGAAACTACTATGGCTTTTGGATACATTGTTTCCTAAAGTATGTTTGGGGATGTCTTTTGACAGAGTCTTCCATGGCCAGGTGAGTATAGGAAATACCCTGTTCTCTTCTTGGGAACTTGGGGATTCTTGATCAAAAGTATATTGCAGACATGAAGTCCTGTAGTGTACACATCTATTTGATTTTGTTTACCCTGTACTTACTTAACAACATAAGTCTTTTACTGAGTAGTTCGTTCTTTCTTTTGAGATAGGGTCTTTATCTCACCATGGCTAGAGTTCAGTGGTGGCTAGAGTGAAGTGGTGTCATCAGAGCTCACTGCAACCTTAGACTCCTGGGCTCATGTGATCCTACCTGCCTTAGCATTTTGAGTAGCTAAGACTACAGTTGCGTACCATCATGCTTGGCTAATCTTTTTGTAGAGATGAGGTCTCACTCTTCCCCAGGCTGGTCTCAAAACTCCTAGGTTCAAGCAGTCCTACCACCTTGGCCTCCTAAAATGCTAGGATTATAGGTGTAAGCCACCATGCCCAGCCATTCCCTCAAATGTTATCACAAAAATTGCTGCACACCGGTTCAGTGCCTGTGGCGCAAGTGGCTAAGGTGCCAGGCACATACACCTAAGGTGGCAGGTTCGAATCCAGCCCAGGCTCGCCAAAACAACGATGGCTGCAACCAAAAAATAGCCAGGCACTGTGGTCCCAGCTACTTGGGAGGCTGAGGCAAGTCTCGCGTAAGCCCAGGAGTTGGAGGTTGCTGTGAGCTGTGATGCCACAGCTCTCTACCCAGGGGGATAGCTTGAGGCTCTGTCTAAAAAAAAAAAAAATTGCTGCACTGAACATTTTTCTAGCTTCAATTTTGGTACTTAAGTGGAAAAAGAAATCCATGGTATAAATTCTGAGGTATATCGTTGAGTCAAAGGGTAGGTACATTTACTTTTTTTTTTTTTGTGACAGAGTCTCACTTTGTTTCCCTCAGTAGAGTGCCACAGCTTCATAACTCACAGCAACCTCAAACTCCTGGACTTAAGTGATGCTCTTGCCTCAGCCTCCCAAGTAGCTGGGACTACAGGCACCAGCCACAGCGCCCAGCTATTTTTAGAGATGGGTCTCTCTCTTGCTTAAGCTGGTCTTGAACTCCTGAGCTCAAGCAATCCGCCGGCCTTGGCTTCCCAGAGTGCTGTGGTGATTACAGGCGTGAGCCACCACACCCAGCCTCATTTAACTTTTTGATAAATATAATCAAATCATCTTCCCAAAAGGCTGTAGCAGTTTACACTGTGGGGCTTTATTTTTGGTCTTTGAAAAATTACTTAAAAAGTTATATAGCCTGGCTCAGCGCCTGTAGCACAATGGTTACGGCGCCAGCCACTTACACCGAACATGGTGGGTTCAAACCCAGCCCAGGCCAGCCAAAACAACAGCTAAACAACTGCAACAAAAAATAGCCGGGTGTTGTGGCCGGTGCCTGTAGTCCCAGCTACCTGGTAGGCTGAGGCAAGAGAATCAAGCCCAAGAGTTTGAGGTTGCTGTGAGCTGTGACACTACAGCACCCTACCGAAGGCGACATAGTAAAACTGTCTCAAAAAAAAAAGTTATATAGCCATCCACAGCACGGATACAATTGAAAAGTTAAATATTTCACAGTCTTTAGCCTTTATCATAAGCTAAATTCATAGAATTATTGTTTTTGATCCCTCTATCACTCCACTGATTGATTGACTTTTGCCCATAATATCCTGAGTTGTTTTTTTTTCCCCAGTGCTTTGGGCTTTGGTGTCTGATTATCTAGTATGTCAAACATATCACCTTGACTATTTTTTAAAAATTGCATCGCAGGCTCGATGCCTGTAGCACAGTGGTTACAGGGCCAGCTACATACACCAAGGCTGGCAGGTTGAAGCCTGGTCTGGGCCAGCTAAACAACAATCCTGACTGACTGCAACAAAAAATAGCCAGGCATTGTGACAGGCACCTGTAGTCCCAGCTACTTGGAAGGCTGAGGCAAGAGAATCGCTTAAGCCCAAGAATTGGAGGTTGTTGTGAGCTGTGACACTACAGCACTCTACTGGGTGACAAAGTGAAACTCTGTCTCAAAAAAAAAAAAATTGCATTGCATACAAACTTTGAATTTTCAAGTTTGTTAAATAATCCTTCAGGAAGGCAATGAATTTAAGAATCCATATCTTAAAAAAAAAAAAAAAAAGACGGCAGTGCCTATGGCTCAAAGGAGTAGTGTGCTGGCCCAATATGCCAGAGGTGTCGGGTTCAAACCCAGCCCCAGCCAAAAACTGCAAAAAAAAGAAAAAAAAAGTAATAAGTGAAAAAAAAGAATAATACACATCTTTTACTAATGAGTCTTTCCTTTCAGGTTTACAATATGTCTCCCCCTTTACTTAGGGCTTATTATCTCAGATCCTTCAGGCCAGAAATATCATTTTCTATATGTTTTGTACATTTCTTGTGAGGCTTATTCCTTTGTAGTTTATGTGGTTTTGTGCTTTTTTCTTCCAAATATTTTTTTTTCGAGACAGTCTCACTCTGTTACCCTGGGTAAAGTGCTATGGCAGCATCAAAGCTCACAGTAACCTCACACTCCTCTTGGTCTTGAGCAATCCTTTTGCCTCAGCCTTCCAAGTACATGGGACTATAGGTACCCACCACAACACCTGGCTAGTTTTTCTAAGTAGAGTTGGGGTCTCACTTGTGCTCAGGCTTGTCTGGAACTCCTGAACTCAAGCAATTCACCCACCGTAGCCTCCCGGAGTGCTAGGGTTACTTATAGGCATGAGCCACTGTGCCCAGCCCACATGTATTTTTAATTTTGTTGCTTCAGCATATAGGAAAGGTACTAATTGTTATTATTATTATTATTATTTTTTTTTTTGCTGTTTTTTTTGGCTGGGGCTGGGTTTGAACCTGCCACCTCCAGCATATGGGGCCAGCGCCCTACCCTCCTGAGCCACAGGCGCCACCCCTAATTATTTTTTTAAAGACAAAATCTCACTCTATTGTGCAATAGCCTGATCATAGCTCACTACAACCTCAAAACACCACTGCATTCTAACCCATGGCAATAGAGTGAGACCTACTCTCCAAAAAAAGAAAGAAAAAGAAACAAAGCAACATTTAGGAGAATGCCCTAAATGTTCATTAGCAGAGAACTAATTAAATAAGATTAGCTGCTATGAAATATGCTATGCAGCCATTTTTTAAAAATGAGATCTATCAATCTATGTTGCTACATAAATGCTCAAATTCTTATAAAATATTTCTTTTTTTTTCTTAATTCTGGTTAATAGGAGGGTACATACAATTAAGTTACATTGTTTGCATTTGTAAAAGTCTGAGTTGTAGTTGAGTCCTTCACCCAGGAAGTGTCCATATACCTGTACATTGTGGCCCAATAAGTGGGAGCTTAATGAACCACCCCTCTACTTTTTCTTTTTTTTAGTCCCACTGTGTTGCCCTCAGGAGAGTGCTGTGGTGTCACAGCTCACAGCAACCTCAAACTCCTGGGCTTAAGTGATTCTCTTGCTTCAGCCTCCCAAGTAGCTGGGACTACAGATGCTGGCCACAATGCCTGGCTATTTTTTGTTGCAATTGTCATTGTTGTAGCTGGCCTGGGCTGGGTTTGAACCAAATTCAGTGTATGTGGTTGGCACTGTAACCACTGTGCTACTTGCTTTGAGATAGTCTATTGTCCAGGCTGAAGTATCATGGCAGCAGCCTAGGTCACAGCAACCTGAAAGCATGTGACCAAGTAATTTCTCTATTGTTAGTAGAGATGGGGTCTTACTCTTCCTCAGGATGGTCCAGAACTCCTGATCTCAAGCAGTTCTCCCACCTTGACCTCCCAAGGTGCTAGGATTACAAGGCCTTACCCAATTATAACCTGAAAAGAAATCAAAGGCCAGAGTGAATCAGAACATCTTTTTTTTTTT